CAACATGGATAAACTTTGACAGCATTATGCTTAGTGAAAAAAAGCCAGTTACAGAAAGACAAGTGCTGCATGGTTCCACTTCTATGAGTTTTTACGATAGCCAAATTTATAGAATCAAAGAGTGGAATGGTGTTTAGAAGAGATTGGGGCGACTGAGAAATGGGGAATTTTTAATTAATAGGCATAAAGTTTCAAGCAAGATGAATAAGCTCTAGAGATTTGCTGTACAACATTGTGCATATAGTCAACAATGATATACACTTAAAATCTTGTTAAGAGAGTAGGTCTCATGCTAAGTATTCTTATCACAATAAAATAAGAAGAAAAGAAAAATTCATGAAGGAAATAATTTACTCTAGAGAGAGCAAAAAAGATAGAATTACATGACTGGTATAAATCCAAATATACCAATAACTACAATATAAATAATAGAGCTGAAATATATCTTTTGAACAAAGAGGAAAGAAGACAGACTATGATAGAAAACAGATGCACTTAAAATATAGTTATCCAAAAGCTTTAAAAATGAAAGAATTTAAAAATATGTTATCTTGGGACTAGCTTGTACCACAACAGCCAGTTTTGTATGTCTCTTCCCAACTTCTTATTCATGTTGGTTGCTTGAAATCAATCATGGTACGTATATTTATTTCATAGAAATTGGCCAGGCATGGTGGGTTCATGCTTGTAATCCCAACACTTTGCAAGGCCAAGACAGGATGATCACTTGAGCCTAGGAATTCAAGACTCTACTGAGCTATGATTACACCACTGCATTTCAGCCCAGGTGACAGAGCAAGATCCCATCTCTGAAAAATAAAAAAAAATCTGTACCACAAAAATCAACAAACATTACAAGTCATGCTCTTCCCCCAACATCCAAAGAACTGATTTACCAACACACAACTAAATATACATCAGATAAATGCTAAAAAAAGAATATATAGCAATATTATTCCAAGACGAAATTAATGGCAAAAAGCATTAGGAATGACAAGAATGGATAGTTTGTAAAGAAAATGTAGAAATTATGAATGTTTATGTATCTGACAACATGTTAAGCAAAATTTGATGGAAATTCAAAAAAGAAATTGATGATTCCTTAGGTGTATTTACTGTCCTGCAGTATATTTAATATGTACTATACTCAGAAATCAATAACTCAAGTACAGAAAACATAAGGCTACTTTCTTTTTAAAGCCATGTGGAACATTCACAGAAACTGCTTACATCTTAAGCCACAAAATTTAACAAATTCAAAAACAGAAAAATTGTTTTAGCTATCTGCCTTGAACATGGTGTAATACAGCTGTGATTTAACAAAATAAGTGGCCAAAATGTATCGGTCCACTTAAAAATTGTAAACCCTTGTATCTGATTTAGGGTTAAGGAAGAAATAAAAAGTGAGTTTGTGAACTCTTTCAAATTAAACAGCAGTGAGAATATTAAAACCTTTGTAATTTAGCCAAAATATAACTTTGAACTTTAGATATTAGAAAAATAATACAGGCTGGGTGCAGTGGCTCACGCCTGTAATCCCAACACTTTGGGAGGCCGAGGCGGGCGGATCACGAGGTCAGGAGATCAAGACCATCCTGGTTAACATGGTGAAACCCCATCTCTACTAAAAGTATAAATAAATAAATAAATAAATAAATAAATAAATAAATAAATAAATAAAACTTAGCCGGCGTGGTGGCAGGCGCCTGTAGTCCCAGCTACTCGGGAGGCTGAGGCAGGAGAATGGCGTGAACCCGGGAGGCGGACCTTGCAGTGAGCCGAGATTGCGCCACTGCACTCCATCCTGGGCGACAGAGTGAGACTCCGTCTCAAAAAATAAATAAATAAATAATGATAATAATACAAAGGAAATGTAATCAAGGAGAAGTACATAGGAATCTTAAGCTATGTGTATAATACACAAAAACAAATTGGTTAAGCTCTTGCCTAGACAGGGAGCCAAGCCGGCAACCTTGCCAGAGCCCAGCCTCTGGCCCTGCCCACCTTGAGACCTTAAACAGCAACCTTCCCAGCCCCAGATCCCAGCTTACATACCCACCCAGGCAGGGAGCCACACCATAGTCCCTCCCCAACTATGGGGCACAGTCTGGACCCCGCTGACCAAGGAACCTAGTTAGCAACCCCACCTGGCTATAGAGCTCAGCTCACAGCCCTGCCCGTATGCTAAGCACAGCCTATGCCCATGCCTGGGCAGGGAGCCAAGCCGTTGACCCTGCCAGACCCCAGAGTACAGTCAGTTACCTCACCTGATCATGGAGTGCAGCCTTTAGCCCCAACTGTGAGGTACAGCTGACAGCCCCATCCAACCAAGGATCTTGGCTAGCTGTGGAGTGCAGCTTTTAGCCCCAAACACTATGGGGCACAGCTGGTAGCCCCATCCAACCAGGGAGCTCAAGTGCAGAGCACATCAACAGCCTCACCTGGTCAAGGAACCCAGCCTGTAGCCCCGCTTAATCATGGAACACAGCTTGCAGCCAGCCTGACCTGGGAGTCCTGTAACAACACTGACTAACCACACAGCAAAGCCAGTGGTCCTGTCCAGACAGGGAACCAAGCCAATGACCCCCACCCAACTGCAGAGTACATCTTGCAGCCCTGCGTCATCCTGGAGCCCAATGTGCAGCCCTGCCTGAGCAAGGAGTCCAACCAGCAGCATTATTTGACCAGAGAGCCTATCCTGGATGCCCCCCAACTGTGGATGGTTATGAAGCCTACCTGTAGCCCAATTGCAAAGCCTAACACATGGCAGCACACGGCCAATGAGCATAGCCTGTGATCCTGCCCAATAAGAAGCAATTCTAGAGCCCAGCCAGCAGCCCTGTCTGACTGCAGAGCCCAACCAGTGGCCCCACCTGACTTTAGCAGTATGGGCAAGAGCCCCACCCAGCTAGAGAACCTGACAGCAAGTACTGCCTGCCTACCCATGGATGTTATCTGCTGGCCTGTTCAGATCCAAAGGCTGGACTGACTGGTGAAGGACTCTTCCTGCTGAAGAAACCCTGTAAAGGCTGGAAGAAATGGCTACTTCCTTAAATGTACAGACACCAATGCAGGGATACAGGGATTATGAAGAATCATGGGTAAATGACATAATCAAAGGAAAATAATAAAGCTCAGAGTCCTCTTAAAGTTCAGTCAACTATAAGAAAACATGATGGACAAGTAAAAGAAATTAGAAAGACAACACATGATCAAACTGAGAGGTATTATATATAAGAAAGGAAAAGTAGATTAGAGGTATAAAGATTTTAAAAAGGAGATAAAGTTATCAGTCTTTACAGTTAGTTATTTGAGTTCCTAGAAACAGTAATCAACTGAAAAACTCCTATAAAAATAAGAAAATATATGTAAAATAAAATGTCCAGAAATAAACTAGATCTATAAAGAGAAAACTTCAAAACAGTCCTTTGAAACACAGATAAAGACCTAAACAAATGGAAAGGAATACCATGTTCTTTGATTAGGAAGACTCAGCATTCCAAAGTGTCAACATGATCCAAATAAAATTTAGCATGATTGAAATAAAATTACCACAGTAAGATATTTTTAAGGGGCAGAGAATCTACACAAGCTGAATGTGAAATTCATATGAAAAACTAAACAAACAAAAACACCAATAAAAATCTGATAAAGTAGGGTAATAAGAGAGAGATAGCTTTAGTCAATGTTAAAATTTGTTATAAAGCCTCATTAGTTAAAATATACTCAAATATAAAACTTAATGAATAAAAAGAGATGGAACAGAATAGAAACTTCAGACACTGACATAAACATTTATGAAATCACTTGGAGAAAGATGGACTATTTGCTAAGTGGTGATGGGACAAGTGAGTATGATTTTATGTAATGATCTTCTAAATGATTACAAATGGATAAAAAAAATTTAACTGAAAAATAAAAAAGTAGCAAAAAAAATTGTGGTTAGAAAGTATTTTTTATGTACCTCATTGTGGAGAATGCTTTTTAAAGTATCCCACTAAATTCAAAAGTGAGAAAGGAAAAGATTCATTAATTTGAGTACATACAAAATTAAAATTATTTTTCTTTGACATCAAACAGTACTGTCAAAAGAACAAATAATGAAATATTTGAAATACATGCAATAGGCAAGTATAATTTCCCTAATACATGAAGAACTCCTGTAAATCCCTAAGAAAAACCAAAAAATGACAAATAAAATATAATGATTTCTTAAGACTGATGCTCAACTTTGTTTACAATGAGAGAAATGAAACTTTAAAATGCAGTGAAAACACAAGCTACTCTGAAGTAACATATTGGTATTTTGCTATTCGTGTAGAGAAACAGATACTTTTATACATTCTTTGTGGAGATATATATTAGTACTATCTTGCATGGAGCACAGGGATAGAATTAAGTAACAGCTGTCAAAATTATAGTTCTACACACCCTTTGATCCAGCTGTTTCAATTCTAGCCATATATTCTGGAGATGCAAAATTAATATCTGAGCACCATTATTTATTGTAATATTGCTTGTGCTAACAAAAGATTGGAAACAGCCCAAACATCTAACTAATCTGCTCTCAGCTCACAAAGCCATGTACTGAGGCCCTCTGTCCAACCAGATTAAGGAGTAACTTTTTGTTACCCACACGTGGGTGTGGTATGGGCTAGCTTCTACTGATTTCTCAAAGAGGCAACTGAAAAGCTTGTGAAGCAATCCTTGATGTTTTAATGATTTTTCTTCAATCCTTTATTGTTGTCTTGCCCACACATAATTTACCACATGTAACTGAACTTTGACCCAATTTGTCTTTCTCAACTTTTTCCAAAGCATTTGTAATCTAGTATAGATAAAATAGAAACAGTTCTTTCTGCAGTAATCTTTCATTGGTTTATGTAACCATTAAATGAATTATGCAACTGACCTGTTAAAAATAATATATGCATGTTGAGGAATAAGTAGAACCTGATTCTTAGTGTTAGGTCGACTAGTGGAAGTGGTTGGTGCTGATTAAAAATAGCCTGCCTGCTGTAAGCATTCACCAAGCAGGATATCAGTTGGTGCATCTGAAAGAGGGATGGGGGACCTTTTCTTAATCCAGCAAGTTGGTTAAGTATTCATTGAAGAGAACTTTTATTGCATGCTGACAATAGGTAAAGAGCAATCCACTATATTCCAGAATAATTAAAACCAGAGTAATCCTAGTAAAAAAAAAAATGATTTGTTAGTATCTTCACATTTTTATGTTATTACTGCTTTGTCTTCATTATGACTTTCATATAAGCTCAATTTCTTTCCAATATGTTACAGGCTTTGGCCAAAGAGTTACAAAATGATGTCCACGTGGTAAGGCGACAAATAAGAGAGCTTAAAAAAATGAAGAAAAACAGGGACGCCTGTAAAACCTCAACCCATAAAGCCCAGACCTTGGCAGCTTCTATCCTGAACATTTCACGGTCAGATTTAGAGGAAATACTAGACACAGAAGATGAAGTGGTGAGATAATTTAAATATTTATTAGTAAAGGGTTTATTACACATTGGACTTAAGTACATATTCTTATTCATTTTATAACTCTTAGAATTTCATCTTTAAGATAGTATTAATGATGGTAAGATTGTTAAAGTGCCAATGAAAGATACACATCAAGTATTAACCAACTCAAAAAGCCTTTAAAGAAATTTAACTGTATAATATAGAAATAAGCTAGTACTTATAACCTTTCAAATTACTTGTTATTCAATTCATTTATTCTTTCTTATCCTCCATTTTCTTTAATTTAATCATATTACATATCATGTAAACCAGTATACTTAATTAAGCTAGTTTAAATGGATTTAGTTAAGCTGAGTCTCCACTGATTTGAAGTTTTTTTCTCCTTGCGAGATTTTTTAAAAAGTGCCAAATCTATTGGCTTTCATAGCTAAATTCAAAATTGTTGTTCACCAATATACGCTTTGAAAATATATTGTTGAAAAATATTTATTGCTTATAATTGGGTAAAATACTTCTGTCTGAGTGAATTTATATGCATACAGGTATACTCTTTAATAGCATTTCACACCTCCTGGGAAAGACACTGCATTTTTGACATAGTCACTGCCTCATAAACAGCAGAATCTCATACCGCACAGTCTTTTGTGAAACATGTGTAGGGTGCTCATTCCTATCGTACTATGACTCTGAGCTTTAATTCATGAATATTAGATTTTTATCCTTTGGAATGCTAAAAGATGATGGCACTAGCAGCTTCTCAACAAATATTTGTTCAGTGATAGACTTGGGTGTCTGTATGAGATCATCCTCTGGCCCCCTCATCAGCTTCTGAAAGATCTTCTGGAATAGAGCAAATCTACAATATGTAAAGATTTTTGAACTACCAAGAATCCTTAGATAATAGTTAAAAGGAATCCTACAGGTATTATTTTCATCCAATGGGTGAATTACCAGTTTCTGCATTCAGCAACTATGCGAAAATGTCTGCGACTTTCTATCAAATTCTAAACTTTGAAGTACAAGAACAATATCACATATAGTACCAAATATAAGACACGTGGGAGTAATATTATTTCTGGCAAGGGTGTTAACTAAGCCTTATTATAGGCGTTTAATTAAAATATGTTGATTGATGAGAAACCTAACAAAAATTTAAGGGTAAGGCCTCTATTGTTGCCTAGAAATTTTAAAACACACAGATTTAGCACAGTGTCTCATGTGAGTATGGCTGTTTGCATGTATGTGTTTACACTTACACACATGCAGTGATGCTAACACATGTACATATTCTGGAACACAGAGCCACCAGGTTTTCAAGACCAAGTAATCTCTAAAATGATGCATTCTCTGGGCTAACAAATTAGCAAAAAAAAACCCTCTTTGAATGAGCAGATTAGAAAAGTTGTCCTCTTTGAGTGTGTGAATTAGAAAAGGATCTCTCTTGATAGCCCCAAAGATTAGATGGTGCACGTCTGTGAATAAATGGCACCTCTGCCTCTGGGCGGGTGGAGTCTGAAGACAGAGTACACAGCACTGTAACATGCATGTCACACACTCTTAAGTCCCTCCTGAAAGAGATATAAACACACTGTTCTAAGAGGGATAGGTACATTTTGATATATTTACTAGATTGCATTATAGACTGATCCTGACATCTTCCAGAGGTCCAAGGATTTGCCCAAGCAGAGCCCAGATCACCTGATTTATGTTCTTTACACTATATCGAACTGTAGTAAATTCACATCAGAAACTGTAATGGCCTATCTGAAGTGCCTAGCATGATGCCTGCCATACAGTAAATTTCAACAAATAATAGTTTCTCACACCGTTCCCTTCTTGGAAAGTCTTTTTTTTTTTTTTTTTTTTGTAAACTGAATTACAATTTCAAGTGAATCATCAACTGTGCATGTGAATACATTTCAATTCCAGAAATATTCTATCATGATAATTGATGGGCTGAAAATACTTTGTGACCTACAGAACTTTAAGTTGGAGTGTTCTTTGCCTATCAGTAGATTATTGGATAGTTTGAATCAACAAGCATTTAAATATACCAGAGTCATGCCATGTTCTGTTCTGTTTGTAATGATAACAATTACTCCTTAGTTATCTGCTGACAAGTCAGATTTTAGAATATTAAGTTTTGTGTTATCTCACGAGGGTCACCTGTAAATGATTCTTTTATATAACTCCATCTTATTTTTCACTTTAATTGCTTTCACCCCCATATTAGCCCCTAGTTTGAGCTCCACTGTGAAGGTAGAAATTAAATATTTCTGAATTACCGTGAAATATATAAATATAGCTATATCTTCCATAGTATGTATCTATAAATTAAATTTTAAAGAGCACGGATTTAAATATTACTACTTTGAGATGACAGACTGCTCTTTGTTGAATGTAATTCTACTGATATTACTCTAGATTTATTAAGTATCTAATAGTATAAACAAGTTCATATAAATTTAATTAACACTAGTGTTTCTATTTTTTTTCTTTAGGAAATTGAAAAAACAAAAATTGATGCTGAAAATGACAAGGAATGGATGTTGTACATTCAGAAACTTCTTGAAGGACAGGTGTTTCATTTTTCTGTTTCATATATTAAACTTCTAAATAAGAATTCCAAGCCTTACATTTTCACCAGATGTCTAACTTTTTGTAAACACTACCCCATTATTTACTTCTGTTAGGTAAAGAAGTATTCCAGTAGGTAGAAAGGAAAGTTAACCCTCTATTTGTGCTTTTGGACTTAACAAATGAAACAAATGCCTTGGGATAGAGCCAACATGGGTCTTAGCAAATGCATTAATTAAATTATTGAGTCAACCTCTGTGCTTGCTAGACTGAAAAGGATCCATTCTCTCAGACCTCTTAGGAAAAGAGATACTTTATTATGTGTCTTTAAAGTTAGTAGTTGATATGGACACCTGAGGAGTTCATGGGTTTCAGTGACCTTTTACTATGGACCTGTTTCCAGTCAATTCATGTTTTCCTCACAGCCAGACAGCTGTTTATTACTGTGTCTTCCCGCATTCTCTACAATATTTTCTACTGAGACCTCGAGCAGCTTGTTAGTGGGAAGTAAATATTGATTTGGCATCCTGTCAATGCAGAAAGAATGAAAAAATTTCCACCAGAGGCCCCTCAAACATTTTCCTATCGACATTTTCTGGGCCGAGTGGAAAGCTGCATAGAGGATGACAAGGCCAAGACGAGTTGAAATCCCTGAGGGGTCTATTGAGACTGCTGCTGTGACCTGTGTGATACTTTTTCTTCCCTTTCAAGTATTTTTTTAATACACATATAGTCTACTGGGATGCGCCCCTCTTGTAAGTGATCAAGGGCAGTTTATTGGCAGGTGAGAGCCCTGCTTTTCTAGTCATAGCCAGCTTTTGTTTTGACATCACTGACAGCATGTAATGTATTCTAAAACTTTTTCATTATAGTTCTTTTGGCTCAACCTAATTGTTTATTTTTTAAATGGACTGTAATAAATAAAAGCCAAAATATATTTGTCAAAGTACCCCCAAAATTGTCCTGTGATTTTAGAAAAGTCATTTTAAATGTTTCTGTGTAAAGATTAAAAATAGAAACTGATATTAAATGCAATTATTTTACATTTATATTAACAAGTATCAGTTTCTGTGCTTTTGGTAAAGTCAAGAATAAGTAAATAGTATATAAACTATTCATGTTAGTATCAGTTTGATATATTATTGAGACGTTGTCTGGAATCACTTTAATAACAGTAGGTGATTAAAAATCATTTGCTTAAAGTTGTGTAAGTGTAGATGTGCAGGTGCTAGGCAAGGCCTTAAACACTGACTACTTGCTTTTGAGAACAGAGGCCGTTTCTTAATCGTGTGGTACTCCCAGACCCTAGCTCAGTGGCTGGCACACCAAAGAATTCAATAATGATTGTAATGAGGTTTTTCTTTTCAACTGGAAAATGATAAAAATAAACTTTTAAATGAATTTTTAAAATGTTCACTTCGTAAATGTGGCCTGTATTTATTTGAATTAGAAATTTTATCAAGTATGACTATAAAAATAATAAATCTATACGTATAAAGCTTTGTTAAATTTTGCTAAAACTGTACCGACACTGGACCTGAGTTTTTTTGGTTAACACATGGAGAGGTATATACATACATTCTACATTAGCTGAATGTATGCTTATTCTGTCCAGTAAGTATAAAAAAATCCTGTTGAAAATGGCATCAGACTGCTTAATATTGCAGCTTGATATAGTGCCTTTTTGTGCCACTGAGCCTGGACTCTGGAATATAATTGCCAGGCAGTATTGATTTAATTGCCCAGGTTTATTTGTGGACTCCTAATTATTGACTGGAGGTAAATTTAATGGAGCAGCCTTTATGAACACTGGGAAACCGCTGCTCTTGCTGTTATACATAATGAACTGCATCATGTGCCTTTAGATCATTTTTCAAGCTAATTTTATTCCACTATGACAGTATGATAACATTTAAAAAGTCAAAGACTTTTTATTTTTATTACCGACATAGGTGGTTTTGCTGATGTCTTTGAATTTTGTGAGAGAAAAAATAGGTACTTCATTGGTTGCACTTGATTGTCGCTTTATAATTACACCCAAGAGAAAAATCTATAAAATAAAATACATCTTTTTTTTTTAGCCTACTTTTCTTCTCTCTCAATCTGAGCAATTATATTTGTCCTGAATTTTAGAAAAGGTTTTCTTTGCCCACCAGTTTTTTTTAGAGTCTGAGTTACACTCACAGGATTGTGCGGGCAAAAGTGTAATTATGTTCATTCATACGTTTTGTTTAGTTTATGGCTTATAGCTCCTATGAGCTTACATCATCTTCACATTGTGGATAACTGAAGACATTTTCTAAAAAATACTAATTAGTCCAATATTGATGTTTTGTTATTCAACTATTTTGACAAAATTATTGGAAAACCTCTCTTTTATGTCCTGTCTGTGTGTTGGGCGCTGTATGTGATCGAATCCTGAGATTATGAGGGCGAATCTGGCCTTGTGATTTTGTCTTTTGTTTGATTGGGCCAGAGAATTGCTTTCGGTTAAAAAAATAATTTTTTTCTGCTTTTGTTTGATGGAATGTCATATTGATAAAATATTCACCACAAAATAAAAAGCTGTTCTTCCATGTGGTAGTGTGGAACTAATAATGATATGATACCTACTGCTGTTGTTAGCTACAAGTGCATGAGAACTAAAAGGTCTAAAATTTTAACTTATATATATTTGATACAGAACCCAAATATATGTCATTCTTTCAAGTAGTTGTGATGCTATTGGTAACTTTTTATATTTGACATTTCTCTGCACCTTACATTTGTCCCCAGAGATTTCTAGTAATCAGAACCACACTAAAAAAATCTTACTAAGTCTACTTTTATCTTTCTATGGCATAGCTGCCTTTAATTTCTTTGAACATTTTTATTTGTATAAATCTCTCTTTTCACATTGATATATTTTTTAAAACATAATTTATGGCAGAGACAAACAAGCAAATTGATAATTAAAGTAGGATGGGAGAAACCACCAAAATTAGTTTGTCTGTAGTTTAGGGAGTGGGAGAAAAGATAGAAATAGGCAAAGTAGGCTGAGACCAAATTATAAAAGCTTTTGAGCAGGGTAGGGATGTAATCAGAGTTGTGCTTTAGAAAGATGCTGAAGAGCAACATTGTAGGATGGTTGGAGAGAGGAGAGTGGGAGCAAAAAGGTGTTCTAGGTAAGGGGCAGTGAGAGTCTGGATACGGCCTGGCCATAGTAATAGAAAGGCAGGAGACAGATGTGATCTACATTATAATGAGTGGCTAGATAGCAGTAATGAGATTAGATGAAGGGGTCTGGGTAGGAACCAAAAGATGGGTGAGTTTAATATACTATAGGAGGAGAGAAAGATGATAATATCTTTAGAGGTTTAGGGAACAAAAGAGGTAAAGCAGTTTTAGTTAAACAAAAGAAGTAAAGCCAGGCATAAAATGTTACATATTGTATGATTCCATTCATACAAAATGTAAAAATAAGCAAATTTATAGACAGTTTGTTTGTGGTTGCCGAGGCTGGGGGGATATAGAGAATGGCTGCTTACGGATAGAATTTCTCTGAGGATGATGAAAATGCTCTGGAATTACTAGTGATGGCTACACAATTTTGCGAATGTACTAAAAATCAATGATTTATACACTTTAAAATAGTGAGTTTTGCTATGTGAATTATATCTCCACTTAAAACAGTTAACTCCTTGATAATGGAAAATATTACAAAAAGAAAAAATACATTTAAAATTAAATTTAATAAATTGCTTATTTCACAAGTGTTGTGCCCCCCACCATTAGCAGAGATTTCTTTAAATGCATTTGAACTTGAATTCTGTCTAGTGGCTGTAAATATGAGTAAATGATATAAATGATTTTATTTCAAACTCAGTAGTTTCTTTTCAGTTGGAACATAAGGAGATGTCTCACCTTTATACTCTAATTGGTCTTACCTGTTCACATATCCGAACAAGGAGTCAGTTTTTTAAACTTTGCCCTCTACAAGACAGTGTTTATCTGTTCTGCCCATTCTGATCCCCCAAATTAAAATTATAATAAAGGTTATTTTTAGGCCTTTATAATACCTAAAACAGTCCCTTGTTATTGTGACTTTATAAAGGCAATGAAGATAATTAGTGGAAATTAAGCTGAGCCTGTGCTCTGGAATCATTAAAAAATATGTGAATGAGTACCTTCTACATGCCAGGTATTATTTCAGGTTTGGAGAATATGGCAGTGAATAAAAGAGATAAAAATTCCCTACTCTTATAGAATTTACACTTCTGGGGATGGAGGACAATAAACAGTTAAAATGTATAAACTATGAAATTTAATAGGTAGTTAACTTGAGTAGAATTATGGGTAGATATATTAAAATATGTATGTATGTATAAAACAAATAATACATAGTTATAACCAGAGTGTGGGTCTTTACTAAGATTTCTATAAATACCCTTAGATATGAATGGCTAGAAAATGTGTCCTTGATGTTATGGTGTGTAGCTTTATTCTTTGTTATTTGCTAATCCTTTTTTAGGTTTCATTTTGTCCATTTTAGTCCACTTTGTATAGATCATTTTATTCTATTGGAACTATATCAAAAATTCTGTCTTTTTGCCTTCAGTTTTGGAGAATTTAAAGTACAGACGTTGATCAGTGGCTTTTCTTTACCTTTAAATATCCCTATTCCTATTAGTTGCTTCAGATCTTGCAAATGCTGAAATTTAAAACAGCTAACTTTCCCCAGTGTCCTCTCTGCAAAATATGCTTACCTTCTACAGAATGCCTTGCAGTATGGCAGTGGGAAGGGTTTTATAAATCTCCCTGGCTTTTGTAAATAGAATATACTACTAGCCTGAAGGTTAACTGAAAGTTTCTCCTTGCAGCTCTGAAGCCATTTACTCTGTGGTCGTTTCCTGTGTTGCACTTACAACAAACGCATTCACAAACTGACATACTCACACACTCAGTCTGTCTCATCCATATAAGCCTACACACTCAGTAACCCACACAGAATTAATTCCTCACA